CCAAGGATAGCAGTAGCTGGTGATGCTGACATTTGAACCCACGACCCTGTGTATGCAAAGCTGTGGCCTCTATACCTAGGAAATATCTGTCTCTAGAGCTCTTTGTTCCTGCTAAAATTGTGTCATTTTCCTTAAAATTGTAACAAGTGCATGCTATTGAATTATGTTTTAAAACATAAGTATTTCAACAAAACATATATTAAAATGAATGCATAAACTCCAAATGACATTAGCCCGCAATCCTATACACTTTTAGATGGCAGTAACTTTTGAGCAGAGGGACGCGGGTGGCGCTGTGGGTAAAACCTCAGCGCCTAGGACTTGTTGATTGCATGGTCGGCGGTTCAAATCCCCGCGGCGGGGTGCGCTCCCGTCGCTCGGTCCCAGCGCCTGCCAACCTAGCAGTTCGAAAGCACCTCCGGGTGCAAGTAGATAAATAAGGACCGCTTATCAGCGGGAAGGTAAACGGCGTTCCGTGTGTGCTGTGCTGGCTCGCCAGATGCAGCTTGTCACGCTGGCCACGTGACCCGGAAGTGTCTGCGGACAGCGCTAGCCCCCGGCCTCTTGAGTGAGATGAGCGCACAACCCTAGAGTCTGGCAAGACTGGCCCGAACGGGCAGGGGTACCTTTACCTTTAACTTTTGAGCAGAGATGCATAGGATTGTACTGTAAGGGCAATACTTTTGGCCATTAAAAATTCTGACAGCTTTTAAACAGCATATAAAAACAATAACATGCTTAAATGGTATTTTGTTTTGCTTATCATAAGCCAATCAATTTAGGATAATGGGGAAAGCTTCTAATTTAATGTTCTCCAGAAAACTTGTATCACTGCACTGATATAGGAAGAGCTGAAGAAAAAGCTTACCTCAGAGCTGTGGAAGCCTGGGGAAAACCTTGGAAAAACATTGGGAACCGTCCCCTGAAGACTTCTCTTCAGTTTTTTTCCAAATGGAAAATTGCTTTGAGGAACATTGAAAACAACTCCTCTGGATAGCTCAGTTGGTTAGAGTGTGGAATATTTATTATCATTTGGGATGAGTGAAATGGTTTAAGGACAAGGCTTTACTCAAAACATTTTACATGTGAAGATTTTTGTGTATGACAATCTATATCATTAGAGAATGATAATTCCTGTGAATACAACATTCAAATCCAAGATGCACTTCTGCACCTTGCTGCTGCTGTCTATATGCAAGCAGGAAAACAGGGTCTTGGTGGCTTCTGAATGGCTCCTTGCTTTTTTCAGGTGATCTATGTGCTATCTGGAGACACCAGAACCAAGCATACCACATGTAGCAATCTACAGTTATCTCTAGTAATACAGAAGTACATTGGAAGTCGAATGGAATCCATTCCGGAAGTCCGTTTGACTTCTAAAACATTTGGGAACCAAGGCACGGTTTCCGATTGGCTGCAGGAAGCTCTTGCAGCCAATTGGAAACCGCGTCAGACATTCAGGTTGCAAAGAACGTTCAAAAACCAGAACAATCACTTCCAGTTTTCGATTATTCGGCATGCCAAAACGTTCGACTCCCAAGGCGTTTGAAAACTAAGGTACAACTGTAAATGTATTCACAAATGTAAAGAACTAAGGCATTTCTACTTCTGAGACTGTGATCTAATGCACGCTCATCTGAGTGTAAGCTCCACTAAAAAGATACGTCAGAGAAAAAATTGAAATAATTGCTCTGTGACTTTCAAGTTGCATCCAACATCACACAAGTAGAAGGGACCTTATGCAACCAATCTTTCCCTCCCCGCCCATCCCCAACAGGATTAGGGGAGAAAAATTGCCCAACACTGTGGGCTGTGTCTTAACAAGGTTACAATGGGAGGTGGAATCACCCCAAATTAGGCAAAGGAATACTGCAACACTCGCCCAAAGATCTCAGGAATAGGCTATTTCCCCCTGGTGGTGTCCACTTTTTTCAAAGAGGGCCAGATTTGATGAAGTGAAGGGCCGTGGGGGCCAACCAAAGTCCAAAGTTGTTGACCTTTTTTAGGATTGAAGTTGTTCAGCTTTTTTTAGGATTTTACTCCAGGAAATAAACTGCCACAGGGGCAGGATTAAACAGACCTGTGGGCCAGATTAGGCCCCCAAAACGGACTTTGGACATGCCTGTGACTACAGCATCATAAGACACAGCCCATAATGTTGTTGCGTAGGTTCTCCTAAACCCCACAGAGAAGCTTTTCATGAATGCTCAGGAATAGGAGGGGATGGGAAAGAACTGTTGTTCATGGTGCCTTCTTCTCGTGATGTTAAATACAACCTTTCATAAATATACCAAGCAGTACAATGTATTATACGCTAATTATAAATGACACATTTTACATTGTTAAACCCTAACAAGGGAGGGATTGAAATTCTCTCCTTTGAACTAACCAACCAAATAATTGTCTGTTGGGTTCAATACTTTATATTTTTGTGCCTTTTCCTTATACATTGAAGATCAGCTTACTGTAACTAATAACTGACAGTGGGGCAAACAGAATATTTGATTTTATTATATGGTTAGCCAAATAATGCTGCACGAAGAAACAATCACCAGCTTTTAAAAAAAGTACTATGTATCTAGAGCCACATAGTCTCCTAATCTCGACAAGTCCCCTTTTCGACCCAGAAATCTTCCTTTACCTTCTCACTCTATTGTTGGTTTGCGCCTTTACTATTATTTAGATAACTATTACCTGGTTTTACTTGTGTTAATTCACTATCAACATTTCACTTCAGCTCCCTAATTGCTTAAAGGTAAAGGTAAAGGTACCCCTGCCCGTACGGGCCAGTCTTGACAGACTCTAGGGTTGTGCGCCCATCTCACTCAAGAGGCCGGGGGCCAGCGCTGTCCGGAGACACTTCCGGGTCACGTGGCCAGCGTGACGAAGCTGCTCTGGCGAGCAGCTTCCCGCTTCCTGACGTTTACCTTCCCGCTAGTAAGCGGTCCCTATTTATCTACTTGCACCCGGGGGTGCTTTCAAACTGCTAGGTTGGCAGGCGCTGGGACCGAACAACGGGAGCGCACCCCGCCGCGGGGATTCGAACCGCCGACCTTACGATCGGCAAGCCCTAGGCACTGAGGCTTTTACCCACAGCGCCACCCGCGTCCCCCCTAATTGCTTACTACTATGTTCTTTGATTGTTTTCTGGTAGTGGAAGGGGATTTCAACACACAGTTATATAGGCTTATATAGGTTTTCAACACACAGCCTATACTCATACTCAGTCTTGACAACTAGTTCAAGAAGAACATATGATCTTTTACCCATATAATTTTTTAGCTCTGCTATGACTCATTTTTGGTATTAGATTGCTTCCTGATTTGGACCAGTTATGACTTTCCATACAGAGGGTAAGAGCTGTACAGGGCCAGGAAAAAGCACTTGCTCAACTCAGAGTTCTGTTTCCTCTTTTCCCCAGCCTTTCCTTTACATGTCAATGTGACATGCAAAAACTAACCACACTTAAAAACATTATGGTGGTCCATAAGCAATATTTTGACTAGGAAACCAATTAAATCATACAAATCTCTTAATACAAAACTTCCATTTCCAGTGACATGTCAAAAAGTGCACAGGTAATCAGAGATGAACATGTCATCTAACTGATCTGTTGTTCCTCATGATCATATTATACAAGAAGCTTTAATCATCAGCTTATCTGCTTAAAGCATACATATTAGCTGCAGCCACAAACATAAGATAAAGTTAGAGACTGTCTCTTGTGGTTCAACTTGTTGCCCATCCCTAGTTCCATCAGGGAAGCCTTTATTTCAAAAGCTCTGATGTGGGCGCCTGACACACCAAAGGGAGAGAAAAATACACACCTTAATTAATCTTATTATTGTTATTATTATTATTATTTATTTACCACCCTACGATTACTTCAGGCTCTTCATCCCCACTGAAAAGATTTAACAGACTTCTGATGATCAAAACATATTTCCCCTGAATGACAAATTTAGCCAGTTAAATGCCTAACACAGCTGAGCTATCTTCAAGACAGCTGAAGTGAACTTATTTTGAGCTACAGGTCCCAAATATGTCTTTAAAAAACACCACATTTAATCTCTATTTAATAGATACTGGTTTTACTGCCTTTTCTATTTCCAATCTTATGCCCCACACCTCTAACACATAAAGTAAGTCAGGAATCACAACTGGATTCCACAAACTGATCAAAGACATATGACCTACAAACAGATCTGAAGTCTGATCCTGGACACAGTTGTCTGTTATTTCAATGAGGTTTCGTTCCAAAACAGCATCTTTAAAATTTTAGTCCATTTGGTAATTAATTAGGAAACCCTGGCATTAAAGTTGAAAAAGAAGCAGAAGGGCAGTGGGTTATGAAGACTCGGACTTCTAGTTCAGGCCCACCTTGAATCGTGTCCTTTCCCCCAATAAAGCGATACCAGGTCAACATCGAGAGACAGTATGGTGTAGTGGTTAGTGTGCCAGAGGCAAGAGCGTGAATGAATCCCTACTCAGCCATGCAGCTCACTGAGTGACCTTTGGCCCAGACACCGCTTTTCAGCCCAACCTACCTCACAGAGCTGGCAAGGGAGATTAAACCTATTTGTTTATTTCATAAAGCCTATACACAGCCTGCTTGCAAGCAGATCTCAGAACGGTTTACAAAAAGCTAAAACCATAAAACCGGGTGTGTGTGTGTGTGGAAACTGCTACACATTATTATTACTATTATAAATTGAATTTATATACAGCATTGCCCCTGTACCCGGAGGTCTCATTAACGCATACAATAAATTAAAACACCGAATCAGATTAGAATTCGCACCAGCCTTTCCAAGCAGCTGGGTAGCCTTGCAAGAACGAGGAGGGCGAGGAAAAGGTGACTGCAATAGGAATTGCCATTAGATAAACCAATAAAATCCACTGAGGCAGAGGGCGGTCGAGGCCCCTCGCCATTCCTGCTAGGCTCTGGTCACTCGACGCTCACAGAGCCGACCCTGGTGGAGCCACTCCGGGACACTCACCCCGCAACCGCAGCCAAGCCTCAAGGATGCGCGGGCGTCTCGGCGGATACTGAAGGCAGCAGGGCCCTGTCTGCGCGCCCCGTGCCCCTCACTCCCACCGCGGCGCGGCGCGAGCCTGCGCTGTGAAGAGGCGCTCCCTCGAGAGGTGGGGGGCCTAGCTCCCCCTCTCTCCCGGCGGCGGGCAGCGCGGCCTCCTCGGGCCTCCGACGCCCCCGCTGCCCTTGCCGGGGTCGTTGCCAAGGCGACGCCCGCTTCCTCCCCCCGCGCCTCACCTTCCTGCAGAAGGGGCAGTAGCTCTTGCTGAAGATCATGACCCGGTGGGAGCTGATCAGGCTCCGCACGCGGAGCTTCAGGGCGTCCCAGTCCGGCATCCGGACCTGACCCGGAGGCGGCATGGCTGGCTGGCTTCTCTGGCCTGAGGAGGAGCAGAAGAGACGGCGGCGGCGGCGGTGTCTGCGGCGATGAGCCGCTATGGCTAAATGCAGCAGCAGCGGCTGCTGCTGAGGCGGTAAACTCACTCGCCCTGCTTGCGCATGGGCAGTGGGGGCGGCCCTCGACTCCGCCCCTCTCCGCTTTCGCCCTCAAGGGAGCGGGCGGGCCCGCGAAGGGGCCTGGAGCGGAGGCGGGAGAGGGACGATTGAATCCCTTGCCTTCCTCGGGGCGGGCGAGCAGGATAAGCCCCCGCCAAGGATGGGCCCTTGAGCAAAACAGGAGAGGAAGGGAGGTCAGGATTCTTGGCGCCGCGCAGAGCTTTCCCTGCCCGTGTTGCGCAGTTGTGAAACGAAGGGTTACTCTCGAGGAGACCTCAAAGGACATTTCCCGGGCTCGCGCACTCTTCCCTCCGTCAACCCAAATGTGGAATCTCTTAATGATAATAATAAAGGGCGACCCAAATGACCAAGGGGATGTGGCAAGTTTCCCTGTGATGAAAGGTTGCATCATATAGGACTTTTTCGTGTCAAGAAAAGGGGCATGGGGAAAGTAGACAAAAGTTTTATTTGCTCTGTCATAGCGCCTTTCAGACTCGACGAAGCTGAATGCTGGAAGATTCGCGATGCATATAAATATTGTTGTGTAAAGCACCCTGGCTTCAAGTTACAAGAAAGGAGATTCGGACTCAACATCAGGGAAAACCTTCTGACAGCTGCTCGGCAGTGGAAGGGACTCCCTCTGGAGGTGGCGGGCTCTCCTTCCTTGGAGGTTTCTAAGCAGAGGTTGGGTGGCCATCTGTCATGGACGCTTTAGTTGAGATTCCTTCATTGGTCTAGAACAGGCATGTCCAAAAGATGCATCTACTGGTAGATCGTGGGGTGTTCCTGGGAGATCCTGGTTGATCTCTGGCCCCTCAGCGATCTCCTTACAAAAAAGCAAAAAAACAAAAACAAAACCAACAACTTTGGATAGATCATTGCCAGTCTTTTTATGAAAATAGGTAGATCACTGCCAGTTTTTTATACTGTGAGTAGATCGCAGTCTATTGGGAGTTGGACATCCCTGGTCTAGAAGACCCATGGGTCCCGTCTAACTCTTAAGATTCTTTGAATCTCTTTTTTCACACAATGCATGAGCTGTGGAACTCCTACAAGAGGCGGTGACAGCCACCAACTTGGAGGGCTATGTCAGCAGCTGCTAGCCACAAGGGCCGTGCACTGCCTCCCCTGTCAGAGGCATTCCACCTGTGAATACCAGTTTTTTGGGAATCACAAGCTGACAGAGTGCTGTTGTGCTCAGGTCCTGCTTGTGTGCTTCCCGCAGGCCTTTGCTTGGCTGCTGGGTGAGAACAGGATGCTGGACTAGATGGGTCATTGGCTTGATCCAACAATCGTCTTGCTGTTGTATTCCCAGCAACTGACATTGAGAAGCATGGCTCCTCTGATGCAGGAGGTTGCATATAGCAGTCAATAACAATTGCAGACACAAGTGTCCCTGTTTTCCAGGGACAGTCCCAGATTTACAAAAGCCGTCCCAGTTTCTGATTTGATACCAGAATGTTCCACTTTTCTTTAAGACACTCCTATTTTCACCAGAGAAATGTTGGAGGATATGATCCCCCCAAACCAAAGAGATAGGTAATCATGCAACCTTCAGAATCCATCTGAAGGCAGCCCTGTATAGGGAAGTTTTTTTTAAAAAAATAATGTTTTATTATGTTGGGAAGCCACCCAGAGTGGCTGGGGCAACCCAGTGAGATGGGTAGAGTATAAATAATAAATTTATTATTATTATTATGGAATAGGACGTCCCTGTTTTCAGCGGAGAAATGTTGGAGCTTATGCAATAGCTGTTGATGGACTCCAAAAAGTAAATCCAGAGTATGGGTTTTTTTTACAAAATGAAGGAACCCTTTTGTCTCATTGCCTGTTCCTAGATTGCAGGTGCATCTCAGTCTTTTCTCATGAACTCAGTACTTTGGTGTTCTGCTGCTGCCAACAGTGAGGAATCCCTGTGCTCTGTGTTAATTTTTATTTTTTGTTTATTGTATATTTGCAATGAAGACAACATTCATATACAAATTTCACTATCCACTAATCAAACACAATGATTCATAATATAAAGAATACTGTTGTGTACAGCATCCTGACATTCATTGTTCCAAAACTCTTTAATAAATAAATAAATACCACTTTCTTATTAAAAAAAATCAGAATTTGCTTTCATTTCCCCATATTTCTTAAAATATGCCATGTTTTCCAAAACAGTCTGAAATAGGAGCAATATCTCTTCCAGTAACTTGCAAGGCATATCTTGCGGCCATCAACTCATTATTCATCTCTTTCAAGTGCAAAATTCTTCAAATGATGTAGTAGAACCACATGAGACTCCATTGAGAAATAATAACCTGTAATTTCATTTTGTTAACTTAGACATTCCCCCCCCCCACAAAATTGGCTAATTACTGGGCATGCCTAAAACCTGAAAAAAAAATCAGAAGGTGCTGCAAACCACAGCATTTATTTGTATTTATTCAATAGAGTTTCATTTTTTCCCCACACGACTCCTCAAAGTGGCTCTCAAAACATTAAAACGTTCAATTAAAACCATTAAAATGTTATATATGTACACACTAGAATACAATAATTAGGAATGGGGTATACATTTGATTCAGCCCATGCTTAAAGGTTTACTTACCAAATTTGCAGCTTCTGAATCAATGCACAAACCAAAAAACAGCTTTTGAAATTGGCACTACTCCAAATTTTGCAATGCAGCTCTCCACCAATAATGTTTACCAAAAGGGAAAAAAATACACTTGGGTAAAGTGTGCATAAGAATGCACAGATTAGTGAAAATAACATACAAAATTGCATAAGGGAAGATTGCTTTGTGAAAATGTGTATATTGCAGAAAATTGCATAGGAAAATGGATACTAGGCAAAAATCACACTAAAATGCTGGTGAATTCTCATGAAGACTTTAAAAAAAATGCAAACTTATATGGAAATATGGAGAACTGAACTTAAGACTAAAGAAGAAGAAGAAGAAAAGAAACAGAAATTGACAGATATGTCAGTCCCTTTTCAGTATGTAAGGAGCAGTGTATAAGGGAAAAACAGGCCAGAATTTTCAAGCAGTGAATTCCAGAACAAAAAGCTGAAGAAACAAAAAAACCTCCTGTACATAGAAAATGTTTAGTTCCTCTGATCATGTGGGAGGAGTGCAGGAAAAGAGTCAAATTTTTAGCTGTTCCAGGAAATCAGGCATGTAATGGGTATATTACTTCTCTCTCCCCCTTCCTCTATAGGCTTTCCCACAGTTAGTCTTTCACAACTGCTGTGGTCATGAAGAGGTCAGTCCAGTTGAACTAGAAGTTGGCATGTAATTGTCAGGAGTTAAAAAGAAGAAAAATAGTTTGGATTTGATATCCCGCTTTATCACCACCCTAAGGAGTCTCAAAGCGGCTAACAATCTCCTTTCCCTTCCTCCCCCACAACAAACACTCTGTGAGGTGAGTGGGGCTGAGAAACTTCAAAGAAGTGTGACTAGCCCAAGGTCACCCAGCAGCTGCATGTGGAGGAGCGGAGAAGCAAACCTGGTTCACCAGATTACGAGTCTACCGCTTTAAACCACTACACCACACTGGCTTTCAATGGCTGTTCACTTTCAATGGCTATACTTTCCCTCCACAGCTCTTAACCACTGCACCACACTGGCTCTCACACCATGCAAGTTGGAGTTAGCTCTTTATTAGCAAGAACACAATCTGCACAGATTTGGTGGAGTGCCAAGCCTAATAAGCACAGCAGCTCATCCCCGGTAGGTCATGCCTGATGGATTAGTTGCAGAGACTGAAAGTCCCCCACCTTCCCACACCTCTGCAGGGCTTTTTCCAAGCAAGTGGATTCTGCTCCTGTGTGCAGACAACCTCTTCTGTGTCCTTTTCATGCCTCTTCTGGTTCTGGGAAACAAGGTAGGAGGTGAGCTCATCACAGCAGGATCATCTCTGCCTCTTGCTATCCCGTATCCCATTCTCCTGCTTCAGCTTCTGAGTCTGATTCTGGACTTCTCTCTGACATAGACTCTCCTAGCTCACCAAGCCCTGATACCTCTTCAGCTTCTGACACCTCCTCCTCCCAGTCATCTCGCTCTGACCACCCATCGTTGCCCCACCACAAATCCCCAGGTTCTAAGTCTTCTTCCCTTGCGGGTTCCCCAACTGGTTCCCCCATTATTCTTCTGTTTCCAACCACTCTATGACAGTAATGCTTGAATAGGGACCACTCAAACTATCTAAGTACATATGATAGTTATATTTAAAATCTACTACCTTCTTCAAAATCAGATTCATTCAACGCCAGTCACCTCACTGAAGAAATGATAAAACGAGTTTATGTGATCATAGCATATGCACAAATTGATCACACTCTGCATGTTACTGAGGCATCCAGGAAACACTGCAAATAATTTGGAGTTGTATTCATTATAATCTTATCCTCGGTCTTGTTTGCGTAATGGGCTGCAACACTGCCTTCCATTGATTAGGCTGAATGGCCTTTTTGAACTCCTTACTCGAAGCTTCCACGTGCTTCTGAAATATTATGCATCATAAACTGCCACCACTGGGTGAGGTGGTTCTGGTGTATTTTGTAATAGGTCTATTGCTGACGGAGTCTCTGAAATTGCACAAGCATCTCACACTGGGTTTTGTTGTCAAATAGATGTATAAGCTGCAAATGAAGTAATGCCATTTATGTGGGATGGTAAAGAAC